GGGTGGCTCCAGTCAGTTGGAGGCAGCACCTCTCCTGCAGTGCTCACAGAAGCAGCACAGGACACAGTATCTGAGCTGTGCAGCAGGAAGCCACACCCCAGGGATGGGGTAAAATCAGTCCCCCTCCCATCCACTGGACCCCAGGTGACAGGAGTGCAGCTGCCTGGAGGCCAGCTAGGATTCACAGAGCTTTCAGCAGAGGTTTTCCAGTCTAGGGAGGACAATAGGAAATCAGCAGCGGGTCACAGGATGACAGGCAGAGGCAGGCAGGGCAGGCTCACACCTGTAGGAATCCTTCCCACTTGAATTCCAGAGCCCCACTGCCCAGCATCCTGGTCACATCGCCTGACTCCTAACACTGGACTCTCTTCTTCCTGCCTATAACAGTAGCTCCCCGGCCAGCTAGGGTGCAGAACACAGGCACCACACTCACCTTTCTGCACACACATAGAAATACAAGGTATTCTGAACCCTCCTCCCCTGCAGACTCCCCTGCTCCCTCCAGACAAAGGGCAGATTCCTATCAACTGATTTCCAGTTGTGTTTTGGGGCTGACAGGAAACCCTGCAGAGCTGGATGAGGCAGAGCAGAAGCCAAGCTGGAAAGTGCACAGCAGGGCTACCACACAGGGCTTCCTGTGCTAATGGCCAGAGCTGAGAGGTGTAGGAATCCATAGCGGAGCAGTCCTAGGAGACCAAGCCACACCAAGCTGGTGGGATTTTCTCCCAAAGCATAGATCCTGCAAAACCTAGTGTCAGAGAGCAGAAGCAGCTGGAAATGAGGCCATCGGCATCCAGACACAGGCCAAGCTGTCTTGCGTGGATCTCATCTCCAAGTGGAGGAGCCCAGACAGGGAGGTTCCTGAGAGCTGCTGCCTGCTCCAGAGCGGTCTCTACAGCCACTCGTGACTATGATCCTGAACCCAAGCAGAAGAAGCACTTGCAAGGGACCGCGAGTCCCCTCGTAATGGGACGGATGGCACAAGCCTAAGGAGCAGAGGGACCTTGGCTCTGAACAGACTGAAGCCCTGTGGCCAAGTAAGGATGACAGATACAGAAGTGAGCTATCACAGGGACAAAGAATGAACCCACCAGGAGCAAAATTGCAGCTGAAGGGCCAGAGGTAGAGCAGTAAGCTATGTGGGTAGAGTCAGCTCTACATTTGACCACTCAGGCTAGACAAGTCAGAGGAAACCAAGGTCCCCGCACTTCTCCATCAGAATCAGCAGGTTGTGGCATGACAGGACTGAGGCTGGGACTGGCAAGGAGATAAACCAGGGCCAAGTGGGGGAAGCAGGGCCTCTGCTCTGTGGTCCAAGGAGGGGAACCCTGCCGAGGGGTGCCTACTCAGTCCCGTCTTCCAGTCACCAGGCTGGCATGACAGGGGACCCCAGGTGAGCACACTCAGGATTGCAGCTCTCCCCCTGAGAATTGCTGGGGCTGTGAGGGAAGAACCTGGTGGGGGGAGGCAAAGTGGCCCCCAGTACAGGGCAGCCCCCGGGAGCCAAGGCTCCAGAGGAAGGAGGTTGTGCTCTCTTATGGCTGGCCTGCCCATCAGCCAGTAGCCTAGGGGGACAGGAGGTCAAGGTGAGGTCAGAGAACTTCTCCCAAAGCAGGGAAAGGTCAGAATGCCCAGAGCAGAGATCACGTGCTTACCCCCGCTTTCAGGGAAAGCAGCTTGACTAGCTGCACATGGCTCACAGAATTCCAGGAATTGAGAGAAAGCGAGGGAGGGGAATGCTGGAGAACTAACAACACACTTTGAACAAGATGAGGGGCCTTGGGATTCCCTGCCCACTCAGCCACGCCCTTCTCTAGGAGGGGCTAAAGGCCTGGGCGGGATTTCAAAGTCTAGCCGCTGGGTCCGTGAGTTTAACGGAGGCGTAGGGGGAAGGGGAGGAGCTTCTTCAAGACAAGCCGCTAAAAAGTATCACCTTTGATGTTACCTGCATTGGATCTGCCTTCTAGAACTTTGTCTCCTCTGAGCCTGTGGCGACCACGGCTTCGGGGAGGATCTCTGGTGAGCAGCGGCCCCAGAGTCTGAAAAGGAGAAGAGCGACCCCTGTGGGAAGGTTCTAGAAGTGGTGGCGGATGACTCCCGCGGGAGTTTTCGAGAACTGGGAAGTCCCGTTTGAGGTGTGAGGACTCCTGGGGGAAGTTCCGCATCGTCCCTCAGAAAATTCCAGAAGGGCTAATGGCCACTTCTGTTGGAAAGTTCCGTACGGTGGGAAGCGGAGATCCCTGTGGAAAATTTGGAAAGGGTGGGTGGGTATTCCACAGGAAGGTTTGGAAAAGGAGTACAGATGATGTGGCCCTACTAGCCCCCTGAGGCCAGAACAGGTCTGCCGGCTCTGCACAGCAGTGCGCTCTGGGCTATGCAGCACGTCCAAGCTGCGGCCGGTTCCGAGTTGTTCGTTGTGGAGCCTCCTATTTCTGGGGTTTCTGTTTTGGTCCTGGAGACCCGTCATCATGTAGACTTTCTTCTGTCTGTGAACTCTGAGTCCTGTAGACCCCCCTCATCACCAGACACCCCCTAGTGCTATAGACTCCTGCCCCCAAGCTGTAGACCATCTCTCCTCCCAGAGGCCCTGTTCAATCCTGGAGACTCCTCGTCCCAAATCCTCCCTCCTCCCTGAGACCCCCCAACCCCAAAGTTTCCCCTTGTCCCTGGTCCTTCAGCCTCCCACCTTAACCCTCTGCCCGCATTTCAGGCCTCTGTCCTGGAATTCCATCCCCTTAGGGCTCAGTGACACCCCTGCTCCCCATCCTCCAGACTGCCTCAAGCACACACATTCGTGTCTTCACCTCTACAGGGCAAACCCTCCCATCCCACCACTCCCAAGTCGTCCTTGTCCCTGGAGTCTGAGGGTCTTAGCATCTGCCTCGGCACTGTCTTCCTTTTGCTTCCTGACATTTTATGTGGGTCGTTTTCTGACAGTTTGAGGTGGGAACTGGAAACATCACATTTCGCACGTCTCCTCCCTATTTCAATTGTGTCTTCCTTGCCCTCCTTTTCCTTCAGATCCTTCAGAGTGCTTATACCAGGTTTCAGTCTGTCGTATTTTTATCACTGCTCTCTCTAAAATAGTTAGGATTTTTGTTAAGAATCATCAGGGTGACACCAGGATGTGTCTCTCAAATTCCAGACCTGAGAACTTCCTAGTTTCCCCTCGGTGAGCAACGTATTGTTTAAGGTCTCTATAGTCAGAAAATGTATTCTTCAGTATCACAATTTATTTTCTGTTCTGAAACAGCCATCCTCTTACCCCTTTTCAAAAACTTTGGCTACAAGCCCACAACAGTGATACTGATAGCACATCTTCCCTCTTTCCATTCCATAGCCTCCTGTGCCTTGGGTTAGGGTTGGCTTAGGTTTATGTTCTTGAGATGTTGTAAGCTCACCCCTCCAATGTTCCTGTCTTCTTGTAGCAGGTCTAGCATGAACAATATTTGCCAACAGTTTTGGTCTCCTGTTGTGTCCACTTGGCCTTTGAATTATATTTTTGTTTTGAGAGAATGAATTGCCTCTTTGCAAATTCCTTTTTTTCTTCCTTAGTTTGTAGCTATTGAGCTTTCTTTCTTTCTTTTTTCTTTTTCTTTTTTGGCACCGGGGATCGAACTTGGGTCCTTGGGCTTGTGAGGCAGATGGCAGAACCACTGAGCTAAATCCCTGGCCCTATTGATCTTGTTTGTGATTCATTGTTTTTGTGAAAGGTTAGCTGTCACTTCAGTGGTTGCTCAATGAAAGGTTCTGTTTTGTTTTCTTCTCGTTGCCTGTCAGATTTTCACTTTTAACTTTTCTTTCTTCTTCTTCCCCTGAGTGCACCTGCACTGAGCTACATCCCCTGACTTCTGTATTTTTTGAGACAAGTTCTTGCTAATCTGCCAAGTCTGGTCTCAAAGTTGGAATCTTCTGCATCAATAAGTCAGAGTGGAGGGATTCTGGATGTGTGCCACCCTGTCTGGTTAGATTTCCGTGTTTTGCAAGTAGTTGTTGTGGGTAACTGTGACATGTCTCAGATAGTTTTGCCTTGCACTAGTTAGGAATGTCGTTTTTGTAGGTTGGTACCTTTCTTTAGTTTTGGACTATGCCTCTACCAAGGACTTTTCGTATAGTCCCCTTCTCCCTTTCTCTATCATTTCCTTGTAGAACTGCCATTACATGCATTCTATATTCTGTCTCATCTGTGAGTCTCCTTTTCCAAGTTCTAATCATTCTATTTTATTTTTTCTTTTTGGGTAGCACTTTGGTTATTTTCCTTAGTCGTGTCTACGTATTTTCTAAATTTTCTCCTTTGCAGATTCAAGTTGGCTATAAATACATTCAAGTGAATTTTACTGCACATATTTTGTTTTCAATGTTGTAGAACATTGGTTTGATTTCTGTGATAGTTTCCATTTCTCAGTGGAGGAGTGCCCCAGAGGTGGACGTGTTAAAGACTCCTCGATTGTTGATGTTGTGGGAATGAGGCTGGAGTCAGGAGCTATGCCCTCACTGATGGGTCTCTTAGCTCTAGGCAGCTGTTTCTGTCAGAAGGATGATCCCCATTAAGTTATTCCCTATTGCACAGTGTCAGTTGGTGCAAACCAATGTCCACAGTGCTCCTGCTGCAGGTAAGTAACATTGCAAGTCTCTTAGTGTTTTAGGTTGCATTTGAATTCACCTCAAGTTAATCAGAGTTTTTATTGTTATTTTTATTTTTATTTTTTGGTACCTGGGATCGAACTCCAGTCCTTGCACTTTGGAGGCAGGCAGCAGAATCATTGAGCTAAATTCCCAGCTAATCAGGGCTTTGGGATGTTTTGTGCAGAAAAAGACTCATCTGAGCCAGCTAGAGTTTGCACTAACACTGTAACCAGGTGGCTTCAGTTGAATTCTGAGTGTGTTCCTGAGCAGAGAAAGAGGGGAAAAAAAAGGAAGAAGAATTTTGAAAGAGCTGCTGAGCAACAGAACTGAAAGGGAGTCTGGAGGTGGCGCTTCCTGCTCAGAAATAAGCAGGAGTGGCAATATCCAGGGAAATCCAGGAGGATGCCAGGTTCTCAGGAGTGGCCGGCCTTCCTTGGAGCAGTGGGCCTCCTATGAAGGGATCAGCAGTCCCAGATGTGGCATTGCCAAGCCTGCAGGGAAAGGGCTTACCTAGATGGACCTAGCTTTGGTCCTAGGGACTAGTCTTGTTGAAACCTGAAATGTGCTGAGGGCTGAACTGTGCATGCTTGAAGAAGTGGTTGGGAAAAGAAGAAAGGGCCACTTGGTCGAGGAGGGTGGAGTAGGCTGATAATGGGTGAAAAGGTATTTGGAAAACAGACGCAGTACTTGATTTTCCTTCCTCAGAGGGCTCTGCTTTGAGATGCCATGACTGTGAACTCAGAAACACTTTCAGCTGCATCAATTCCAGGACATGTCCAAGTGGTATTGTGCGCTGTATGACCGTTGGCGTTCGTAAGGATCTCTTTGTCTTTTTGACACCTTGTGGGTAAATCACTCTACCCAGGCAGTTTGAGGGACCATGATGAGTCTGTTTTTCTCTCTGCACACAGCATTACTATACCTTCTGGCATATCCCTAAACTGAGATATGCCAGGTACTGAGATAAACAGGTACTGTGCTTGGACTTATGAAAATCACATTGTATAGCGTTATTTTTGTAAGGTGTGGAGATTTGTCTACATATCTGTGTTGTCTCCAGTGCATAGAAACATCGCAGCACCCCAGGCTTTGTATCTTCGTGGTCACAGGTATAGAAGTCCCAGTGCACCCTAGGTGATTCTTCATAGCTCATTTCATTTGCAGTCATATGTTGGGATTTTCCAGCTAGGGAAGTCCTAGGAGTAGATATACTCGTAAATCTCATGGCAGTGCTTGCCACGCACAGATGATAAGGCCAGGTGCGGGAGCAGGACAGATGCCGAACATCAAGGCACTCTGTGTCTTACTCTGAGGCCTAGTGCTCTGAGAAGATTATGTTTATCTTTGGGGTCCTCTTGTGGAGATGCATGGCCTGAGGCCCAGTCGTCAGACCAAGAAACAAGGAAAGGCAGAAACGTGGGTATTAGAACGCAGGTTGAAGCCTCTTCTGAGGACAGATAATTTTCTTTTCTTCAGTTCATGCTATCCCCTGATCGTGTTTCACCACTTGGCATATCATTCTTTCTTCCAAGCTATGGGCAAAGGAATCCTCATTGCTAATTTATTAGTTAACTTTGTGCTGCTACAACAAAAGGTGAGATTACTAACTTAGAAAAGGTTTACATATGTCAGTTTTGCAAGTTCTAAGATATAGTGCCTTCCTCAAGACGGTGAGAGTAGAATTTAGTTGTAGATCATGATGGAGCATAGGATCAACATAGTCACATTTCAAATCATTGCAGAGAGACGATCGCTAGATACGGTTCCTCCGTCCTTCGTGAGGGCAATACCAAGTTAGCCAAAGACCTTGCACTAGGTTCCATGTACCCCAACCTTGCATTGCTGGCAATCGAACCCAGGGCTTCCTGCATGCTAGACAAGTGTCATACCATTGAGTTACACCACTAGTCCAAGGCCTGAACACATACAAGCCTACAGTACTTCCCAATAACACTATCCTGGGGAGTAAATTTTACATGTGTATCTTAACATTTGACTCATGCTATTTTGCCCTAACCTCAAAAATGCTAATGTCTAAATCCTAATATAAAACGCATTCATTATATACTAAAATTCACATCTTTGAACTCTTCCAACATTGGCCAAATGTCCAAGTCGCAAGTCTCCTCTGATGTGCAATGCAATCTCATCTGTGAACCCTTACGAATAAAAGAACTAGTTGCATACTTATAAGGTGAGACGGAAATAAGCTAAAGATCCCTCTTCCAAAAGGTGTAGATATGCAAAGAGAAAGGAGAAATCATAGCACCTCCCAGTGCTGCCACCCTGGGTGCAGGCCTTTGTATGTGTATTTTTGGAGGAGGCTCACATTACACCCAAATCATATTAGCACTATGTCATCACAACACTGACGGCCATTGCCCTGTGGCCATGTGCTTATTTTGAATGTGGACAGGAGACTATGAATCCAGATGTCCAGGCAATAGTTCACTACTAAG